GACCGCCTCTGGTAGAAAATCCGTCCACCTCTTAATGTTTGTGAAGTATATTCTAGGTCCATATCCGTAGGATATTTGTAGAAACTGTTTTTAGAAGAAACGTTGATTTCTTTTGTTTCTTCGATAACTGGTCTGAAGGAATATTCCTGACACTTTGTACAATAATAAATACCTCCGCTTGACTCGTATTCATTTTTACATGATGTACAAGTTAAGTCAATAATTGCACCTGATCCTTTTAAATTTAACTGTTTAACGTCTTCTTGACGCGACATAATGTCTTGCTAATAAATACTGCACTAAATATACATGTATTCTATATTGAATTACCCGCTCGCTGTATATAGTATATATTTCACAGGTCCTTCAGTTTATGTAAAATACTATCCACACGGTTGGATATCCATGCAGTATTATCGTGATAGCAATCTTTAACATACATACCCTGATGACAATATACACAATTTATGCATTGGATGAACAATTACGAATTCGTATATATCCCTTCACAAGGCGAATTAATACATGTACTAAAATATAGGTTATAAAATGGTATACTTAAAAAAATTAACTGTGTCACTTTAATTTAGAACATCTAATTCGCAGGGGACTAAACGATAACCTTTTGCTGATCAATTTACACTTATTTTCTTCAAATTAATAAAGTAAGGTAGAGAGACGCAAAAAGAAAGATTATATTGAAAAAATCTCAGCCCGCTACAATTGATGATATTCATTTTTATGTCGCTTGCTAGGGATCACTTATCCGTCGTCTGTCCGTCCGTCACGAAACTTATTCGAGCTACTCCACAGACTACTAAAAGAACTACTGGTGTAATTACATTCAAACTTTAAAGAAATGATCGGTACCAGGTCTAGTTGTGCAAATCGTCGGAATTTTCCGGTTTAAATGATTTTTGTCAGAGTTATGGTCCATTAATGATTTTATGTCCAAATTCCCGTACTACAAATGCAATTTGAGTGAAACTTTACAGGACTGATTGTTACCTTTAGTACTTTCACATAATTTACGGGTTTTCAGGTTGAATGATTTTTGCTGAGTTATGGCCCTTGAATAAAAAATAGAATAAGCTGATAATACATCTTAAGTTTCAAACGACAATGACTTCCATGTAAGACTCCTTTGCTGGTTTTTAGAGACACGACAAGTTCAATGCGATTACGCGACATATGTTTATTGTTCCCGTACAGGTTAAAGGGACTCCACTGAGGTTTTTTGACATGATGGGACCGCAAATATTTTTTTCCAGATAAATGTACCATTTGATGTAGGTTTAGACCATTAATCTTTGTGCAAAATTTCAGATCATTCTCGCACTTGATTTTTCCAGAATAATTATTCAAATTGTAATATAATGACCCAAAATGAAAAGCGTTTAAACGGGCTAAGAAAAGCACAAAAATATGATTTTCCATTTATTTTAAAGTATATTTCTTAACTATCTTTGCATATATTTCTGTTTAAAGTGCCCAAGCTCATTTATGTAAGAAATTAAAATGTTATGTTTTAGGCTTTTAAACATCAGTGGGGTCCCTTTAATGCTGATGAACATACTGGGGAAACAGACACTTCAACATTATCTGCAAAAGTTGTTTCCATCAGATGCTATCAATTTTAATTTAATACTATGAATATATTCCTTTGTAGATCAAAAGACGCTGTGCTATTACCTTTTTCGTTGGGGTTTACGTTGCACCAACACAGTAAGGTCATATGGCGACTTTTCAGCTTAACTGGTGGAGGTATACTTCAGGTGTCCCCTCCGTGCATTATTTTAGGCACCCGGGTAGAACCACCGACGTTCTGTAAGCTAGCTGGACAGTTTCCTCACATGAAAGAATCCAAAGACCTTTCGAACCCATAAGGGTCAAATGGCTTGAAATCAACGGAGGTCCTTTCGTATTATTCAATTCAGAGCTGGGATAAGATCACTCCCTGTGCATCATGCATAGCTATCATAAAAGTGGTAAATTACGCTCCACGTTGTTAACAACTTTAGTTAAAATTGATTCATATGTAGACATCTATACTTCAAGACTGACTCTTCTTAAAGTTTATCTTATACTCTGGCCAGTTACTTGTTATAAATATATGCAATGTAAATAATTGAATTTAGAAGGTCGTTGTTAACAAATAAAATTTAAGTACATGTATATATATTTCTTCATAAATTCAAACATAAAAGATATGCTTATTAAAGAGAACTATTAAAGAGAACAACATTGATAAATCTATTTCTTTCTAGCGTTAACAGAAAACCACCGACTTCAAACGTACTATTTACTCTACTGTGAGGATTTTTTTAACTATTCAATATGCAAAAATGGCTTCGAAGTTAATTTTAACAAGAATTTTACAAGATCAGGCATTATGTACAGTAAATATTATTTTTAATATTCCTTAAGTTTTGAAGATTTTTTTTCTAAACATATGAATCTATCTGGGGAAAATATAAGGCTGAAAGACAGCCATGGTTATCTTGCATTAAAGTACCAATGTAAAGTTAACGTTATTAGCAAAAGTTTACCTACCTGGAGTTCAATGCTATTAATACTGTTTTCAGTGACAGTAAAGTTATGAATATTTTAGATGAAAATTCACATATTTCAGTTTCTTACGGTCTGTAATTTGAGAACTATGTATGACACAATCTTACAATATTTAACAAGTAGAAATGAGCCGCGTCACGACAAAACCAACATAATGGGTTTGCATCCAGCATGGATCCAGACCAGCCTGCGCATCCACACAGTCTGATCAGGATCCATGCTGTTCGCTTACAAACCCAATAACAAGTAGTGACACTGATAGCGAACAGCATGGATCCTGATCAGACTGCGCAGACTGGTCTGGATCAATGCTGGTTGCAAACCCATTATGATGGTTTTGTCATGACGCGGCTCAAATAGTTTTTTTAACCACACAAAATATGAATGGAATTATCATTCTGGACACAACTTATCACAATTTAAGGGAAAATTTCAAAACATTTACTGACCGAATAGAGAACAGTGCAGACCACATTGAATGGTGCAGATGTTCAAGCTGATCTTGGTCTGCACTGTTCACATGGTTGCCATGGATTGCCACAAGTAGAATCAGGGTCAAAATCATTTTTCAATACATCATAATAAATGCCATATTCAATGATGTCAAACCCTACAGACAGACAGACAGTTAGGAAAAAGACTTTATGCAGTCTAACAGTTTAATATCAAGTACACAAGTCGGGTAAAAAATAAACAAAAATTAAATACTGATATAAATGTATACCAAAAAAAACAACAGCAAAATATCATATATGCATCTAAAAAAATGCTACAAACAAAACTTAACAATGACTTGTGAAGTAAATTATCAAGTTTTCGATAGAAAAAAAGTTCATCAATATGTATAGTCAAAAGTTAAATAAATAGTATAAAATAGTCATGTTCCTAGGCACTTCAAAACAAAACTGTTTACCCACATACGAGTCTTCGTTGCAAATACCTAAATCATTACTTTTGTATAACTTACTGGTATCTGTATTATGATAAGCTTGTGTCACAATCAAGATAGACCAGGCTCTATAGTGATAGATATTTTAGTAATTTCAAAATAGACAGTTCAAATATCAAGGCAGGGTAGATCTATTACACATCTTTAACAAGGTAGATGTTATATAGGTGTTATTGTTGTAATTTCATATTATGATTTTTGTGTAAGTCCGACCATTTCCTCGGAGACTGTCCAAAGTTTAGCTGCAGCTTCATCATCATGTGCTTGTGGTGCTTCTAACTTGACAACACAATCACTGTAAAACATCATACAAAAATGTTATGTTTGTTTAAGTTATGTATCACTTTAATAAGAAGTCATGTTCCACCTTAATATAACAACATTTTAATCATCTACACTTACAAAGATACTGTAAGATTGATGTTGCATGCAAAATTTTAACCAAGAATTGTTCTAAATTCACAATGGGCCACATTTAAGTTACAATTTAGCCTTGGATAGTGACCTACAAAAATGATCCCAAAGACATGTTTTATGTTTCATGTGAAAACCTTCAATAGTTATAAAGAATGATGTTGCACTGAGAATGTTCAAACAAGAGCTGTCATCCAAGTGACAAATGCCCCCAAAAAAGGTTTCTTTTATGAAAAGAAAATGAAAACAAGAGCCCGGTTTGAGCCGGGTGATGCTCCCCGAATAGGTTTTGGACACAGGAAAGTACACCTCTTGTAGTTTCAGAGTTATGTCCCTGGAAAAAGTTCAAAGTGCAATAATTCCAAAATTAGGCAAGGCAGAGTTACTGTTCTTTGCACTGCACTTCTGATCAATGTGATCTATCAACCTACAAAGTTTCTTGATGATATCTCTTATGATTTGCGAGTTATGTCCCGGACAACTTCAAAAAAGTAAAAATAAACAAAGGGCAATAACTCCAGAATTAGTCAAGGCAGAGTTATGATTCTTTTGCACTGCACATCTACCCATTAAGATATATTTACCTACAAAGTTTCATGTTGATATCTGTTATAGTTTTAGAGTTATGTTCTGGACAAAGTTCAAAGTGTAAAAATTAACAAAGGGCAATTACTCCAAAATTAGGACAAAAAGAGTTATTGTTCTTATGCACTGCACATCTACTCATTGAGATCTATTCACCTACAAAGTTTCATGTTGATATCTCTTATAGTTTTAGAGTTATGCCCCGGACAAGATTTTTCTATAAGGGGAGATAATTCAAAAACCGGGCAAAATAGAGTTATGGTTCTTTGACTCTGCACTCCCCCTCAATGCCCTCTACCACTGTATGAAGTTTCAACAAATTATCTCCAAGGGTTTTCAAGTTATGCTCCGGACAAGACAACGGAAGTTCTCACAGGACAGTAATTATGTGGCTACTCTATTGTTCTCTCTATTGTTCTTTTTAGCCACACAAAAGAAAATAGCCACATAAAAGCATTACGGAATGAATGACATCAAAGAGAAAGAACAGTTACCTATTGTCCCTCTAGCCACATAATTACTCTCCTGTGAGTGCGGACGGACAGACGGACAAGGTGCCGACTATATGCTCCCCCGAAATTTTCAAACTTCAAAATATAAGTGTGACCTTGACCTTTGAAGAAGGAATGTGGTTCCTGGACATGACAGAATGTTGTTATGAGAAAGACATTTGTGCCAAGTTATTTCAAAATCTCTCAATGTTTGACGAAGTTACAGTCCGGACACAAATGAAGTGAGGATGCACAGACGGACGGACAGTGCGGTTTTAACATGCCTCCCTTCGGGGGCATAAAAAAGCCATAATTAAGTCAAAATGTCAGAATTATGGGACATGGAAATTTACCTCCAGTTATGATTCTAGAGACATGTGCTAAGTTTCAATTGAAAACCATTAACATTTTTTAAGATGGATGTTATATGCAAAACATTGATAAAGATTATTTTCTAATAGAATTCAATCAAAATTCATGCTAGAAGTACAGGCCTTGTACATTGTAGTATAGTGACCTCCAACTAAGATCCTGAAGTGATGTTGCATGCAAAATTTGAGCAAGAATTTTAAACTACAACTCCGCGAGTCGCCTTGTGAACAATATAGCTGTCACTTTGGCATTTTCTTCTGAAACACTGCTTTTACAATGTACATGTACCTTTAACTTTAGTTGCATTATTTGAACTGATTGTAACAATGTTCCATGAGGATTAATAAAACTGTTATATTATCAAATATAAAAATACCATGGGAAAGTTTTACACTGACAGATCTAATGGAGTACTCTGTGATGGATTCTTAAGCACTGCACTTCAGGTCAATGGAAAAAGCTAACATACTTAATTTGGAGTCAATAAAACTTAAAGTGACCAAGTTATGCTCTGGATAAGCCTATTAAGTAACGAAATTAACAAAGGGCAATAATTCAAAAATTATTAAGTGCAGAGTACAACTTCTTGTGCACTGCTCTTCTTGATGAGATCTTTCATCCTATGAAAGTTCAAGTCAATAGCAAGTGTAGGAGAATTGGCCCAGACAAAAATAAAGTTTTATAATTAACAAAGGGCAATTACTCTAAAATCATGAAGTACAGAGTACCAATTCTTGTGCACTGCACTTCTTCTAAATGAGATCTATCATCCTATGAAGTTTCAAGTCCATAGCTTTTATACTTTAGGAGAAATGGCCCAGCCAAAAATAAAGTATCAAAATTAACAAAGGACAATAACGCAATAAATTTAGAAGTGCAGAGTAATGATTCTTGCATACTGCACTTCGGGTCATTATAAGAAGCATGCATACCAAGTTTGGAGTCAATCCAACTTAAAGTGACTGACTTATGCTCTGGACAAGATGAAGGGGACAAGGACAACAACGCCTACAACAACAAAAGTTACCCCTGTATGTCGCCTTTTCAAGGCCACACAAAGAGTCAAATTCTGTCAAAATCCATGCAAGAGTTATGACCCTTGGATAGTGAACTCCTATTATGCTCTCAAAGTAAATAAAGTTACACTGTTGCCAACACCCGTGTGGGTATGATAGCCAAACTATTCTTTAAATAGTCAAGCTAAAAATTACTAAGAAATATCCAAAGTAGCTTGAACTTACAGCCTTTTGACCCTTCTTGAACATACTTGGTAAACAAACTACTTAACAGTGCTACCTTTCAATGTCAAACATCTCAACCTTATGGTTTCTGACAACAAAATTTTAACAAAGATTTTAGGCTGTGCAAGTTTTGTAAAAATAATGATCTCTGGGACCAGTCCAGACCAATTTTAACACCAGTGGCATAATCTAAACATTGCTTGTGATGAACCATGAAGAGTTGTTCTTTACATTGAACACTGATGATGCATAATGGACACTAGGCACTCACAAAAGCTCACCATGAGCACTGAGTGCTCAAAAAGGACTCTCCAATATGCAGCATGTAAATCATTGATTAAATCTGCCCAAGGACTAAACATTCTTTCATCAATTAGTCTGTATGTGCACTAGATCTTTACCTGAAATATTTTCCAGACACATCAGTGAGATCTTTAGAAACAGCACAGTGAATTGTAGTTTGTGCACCTTGTATTGGAGTTTTGAAGACAAATAAAATCACAGGGACAAATAAAATTCTACGCCACAATGTTGTGTCCCTATAACGACCAAGTTCAGTTTTGATTACACCTGGGTGGAGAGAATTGGCAGTAACACCCGTCCCTACAAGATGAAAACAACATCTCAACTTTCATGTAAAACATGCAACTCACACATCTACTAGTATACTGTGAAAACATTTTTTTGAAGAGTATTGACTATTCTTGTTTTTCATAATGTCAACTTTTTTATCTTTTTCATAGGACCTACTTACTATCTATCAATGTTGGTTTAACAGAATGATTCCCCATCCCCTACAAGTGAATACCTTCCAATCAAAATATTTCCACAGTATGCTATATTCATAATGATAAGTACAATGAACATCATTTCCAATGCATTCCCAACCAGGCATTTTTCTATGTCTGGTGTCAAAATATAAGAATGCATTAGAATAATGTTTACTGCCTCTTCTGAACATAATTAAACTATACCTGAAGTATTTTCCTGATGCATTATCAAGGTCAGGGCTAACAGCACAATATATAGTGGTCTGAGCCCCCTGGACAGCTGACTTAATGAAATGTTTGACTAGACCATGATAAATTAAATTGAGAAATATTCTCAAGGGTAAAATCTGAAGGTCTTTGAATCTGACAAGCTCTGTATCCACAGCACCAGGGTGTAAGGAATATGTTGTCACTTCAGTTCCTGTAAAATGCCCAAAATGTAAGACAGCAAATAAAGCCTAAATGACATTACCAAGAACTGTATTTTATCCAATGCTGTCTGCTATTTTTAATGTAACATAACCATGGCATATGTTTTTTAAAGTTGAGTTTATACAGAGTTTTACTTTAGTTTGATTGTGTAAGAACCTAGAAGCTTTGAGACACTCTCTCAAATCCATTCCTGGAACCAACTAAGCAATGAGTGTAAAGTTTCTTGCTCAAGAAAAAACAACAGCTTGCCCCTGACTTGGTTTGAACCAACATGACTAGCTGTCCCATGTGCTATCCACTCTCACCATGACACTACATATCTGTATTTCCATTTGTACACCATAGACAGAAACTGTATCTATAATTATTATTATCATGGTTTTCTCATGTTCAAAATATGTTTTGTCTTGAGCTGCTATAATACTATATGTATAAGGATACACATTGTATACATGTTAAAGCAGCATGCCTTCAGATGAGCTGAAGTACAGTAGAACTTCGGTAAGTCGAAGTTGAAGGGACTTGCGTAAAAACTTCGACACAACAGGACTTCGACTCATGTACTGCTCTCAATTCCATGACAAAATTTCCACCCGGGACTAGTCTATAACAAAACTTATTTCATGTTTTTTTTCCATCATTAATCTGATATTCACATTTTACAATGATAAATATAGCATGTTAAATAAGGTTTTTCACGGCTAATTATTTGGACTACCCGTTGACGTATACAATAGAGTTACAAAAGGCGTAACAATACGAAAGGGCGATAACTTAACCAACTTATAGTATATATTTCGCGTGTTATTCTCACGCGACACCGGGTCAAGGATGTAATCAAATGAAAGTAAGTTCTTACTGTTTACTTTCAAATACCACTACGGCAATTAAAATAGTAACGATTAAAGCATTTTATCACACATTTTATTGCAAACAAAGGCTGTTTGAACACACGCTGTGTAATTAACACCTGTCACACAAGTTGATTGGAAATCGTCTTCGCAGCCAGATAAGGTGTGAAAAATGTCTCGAGATCGACGGTGTCAAAATAATCGAACAACTTCTACTTATTTGTGGTAAATTGCACTAGATTTACTTAACACGGACCACGAAAAAACTTCGACACATCGAAAAATTTGACACAAAAAATCTCGACTCATAAATAGGTTTTTATAAGGAATATATAGGGATAAAAGTCGGGACTTTAAATTTTCTTCGACACATCGAGAAAATCGACTAATCGAAGTTCGACTCATAGAAGTTCTACTGTATTTCAATAAAATTAAATTGAGAAAAAATGTACTAAGATTTTTGGACAAATAAAAAATTCAAGATTCAACAAATAATTTGTTTAATTTGCGATTATGATTAATCAATCAGTATTTATAAATATATTTCTACTGTGTGACTTAGGCAGTTAATGCTATTTTTGCACATTTTTACCTCTGGTAATTTATGTGGGTTGTAATTGTCATTGATAATGCCTAAATTGCTTCCTTTTGGTTACTACACAACATTATACTTTTAAATATATTTTCAAAATTTCCATGAAAATTAGTATGAATTTAGAGGCTTCCAGCTATAAAGCCAAATATATCAAATCAGGGCTCATCCGGAAGGGCGATTCAGGCGAAAACTTCGCCGTGTATATTTCCATTTCGCTCTCCCAATTGATCAAAGAGAAGTCAACATCGCCGATAAAATCTAAATGCGAGTCAATCTAAGGCTTCAAGGCCCTAACTTGTGTGCACTATAACATAATAATTTAAAGTTACCTTGTAAACGTTTACTCAGTTCCCTGGTAAAGAGAACATTGGCTAATTTACTCTGAGAATATGCTTTAGCTGGTGAATATGACTTCTCCGAATTTAAATCATCGAAGTTAATTGTTCCTCCTGAAAAATATTCCAATGTACACATGTACCTTTCATCTGTACATACATGTATATTTACTTTCCCTAAATATTCTAGTATTTTTTTTAAAAAAATTATGGAGTCAAAGCAATGTTTAATCTGATAATAAAGGTCTGTTATTGAACTTTTTGTAGCATCATAAAGTTAATGTAATTCTACTTCTAAAAAACAGCAATATTTATAACATGAGCTGTCAGAGTTTTTTGTTCTTTTATATAAACTGGCTTTATTGTGAAAATATAAGATTTGGGAATATGAAGTCAACATGCAATATGTACACATCTTGAGATCTATAATTTCAATCTTTTAAAGTGACATTATGCCCATCCAAGGTTATACATTGTATAATGAGTGAACATGTGAATATATAAATAAGTTTTCATTTTGCATTAATTCCTTTTGGTTTAATAATTGACTTCGCAAAAATAATAAATAACGCACAAATTCTAAGGAATTTTCTGTAAATATCCATTTGAATTTGCGTGTAAAGTTCAGTTTATAAAACGAATGGGACAGTCTTTTTATATTTAAGGCAGATTTATAATTTTATACTAAACATTTTCAAATATCACATGTTGGTCAAACACCATTTTAACAGTCAATCATTTGAAATATAAAGTCAATTCAGCTCAACTTGACTATGAAAATATGAGCATAATGTCACTTTAATAAAATATTTAAATTTACATGTAAAACATTATAAATACCTACTTTCATGTGCCAGGGAAGAGACATTTATAATTCTACTAGGTGCTGATTTCTTCAGTAAATCCAGTAATAGGTTTGTAAATAAAAAATGTCCTAGATGGTTTGTTCCAAATTGCATCTCAAAGCCATCTTTTGTCTTCCAATAAGGTGTCCACATTACACCTGAAGTTGTTAAAAGTAAAGTTCAATCATAATATCAGCATAAATGTGAACACAAAGTAGTAGATACTAGATAGAAAGCAAAGTTTATAAGGAAACTGTCAATTATCATCATTAGGAGTTTTCAATACAATTTATCAATATTGTACAGTTAATGGATGTGTATGCTGACCTGTAGGAGTTTTCAATACAATATTTTCAATATTGTACAGTCAATGAATGTGTATGCTGACCTGTAGGAGTTTTCAATACAATATTGTCAATCTCGTACAGCCAATGAATGTGTATGCTGACCTGTAGGAGTTTTCAATACAATATTGTCAATATCGTACAGCCAATGGATGTGTATGCTGACCTGTAGGAGTTTTCAATACAATATAGTCAATATTGTACAGCCAATGAATGTGTATGCTGACCTGTAGGAGTTTTCAATACAATATTGTCAATATCGTACAGCCAATGGATGTGTATGCTGACCTGTAGGAGTTTTCAATACAATATAGTCAATATTGTACAGCCAATGGATGTGTATGCTGACCTGTAGGAGTTTTCAATACAATATAGTCAATATTGTACAGTCAATGAATGTGTATGCTGACCTGTAGGAGTTTTCAATACAATATTGTCAATATCGTACAGCCAATGGATGTGTATGCTGACCTGTAGGAGTTTTCAATACAATATAGTCAATATTGTACAGCCAATGGATGTGTATGCTGATCTGTAGGAGTTTTCAATACAATATAGTCAATATTGTACAGTCAATGGATGTGTGCACTGAATTTTTAATGGTTGCACAGACAAGTCATTATCAACAATGGCGTTAAGATGTTACAGTTTGATTGTTTAGAATTTTCAGTCAATTCAATGTCACAGATAGATTAACACTGTTTAAAGGCACATTATGTCTAAGAAATGCCTTTATTCTTTCATTTTTCAAGAACCTTTTATTGGTGATCCTGCTATAATTTCCAAAATGTTACTGAATGGCCAATAACCTTAACTGTACCTTTTTGGAAACTAGTACAGTAATAGTGGTTTATTATTTTGTATGAAGTCAAAGTACTACTTTGATTACATGTTGATACTTTTATGACAAAAGATATCACATTCAGTGGTAATAAGCGTCTAACATGCTCTAAAACCATTATTCAAGGTTATTAAGTTAATGTTTCCCCTTTCTAAAGGAGAAAATTATTTGTTTCTGTAAGACAATCACATTCTTAATTTTGCCCCTAAGTTGATACAGGAAGACTGCATGGAGACCTCAAATGTTTGTAGTTAAATTTCTTTAACTACAAACATGCCTGTGAGTAGAGCAAGCAACCTTTTGCATACTAGTATGATAGTGTAACATTTATTTTATCAAAGAAATCATTCATCACATACATGTGCCGCTTTTGCGACTGTGTGAAGATGGTATAACATGACCGTGCATAAATTTTTGATGTTTGCTTTATACAAGCATGCAGTTTTAGGACACTAATGATAGCAATATGGGCATGTCACTGAAAAAATAATTCTTTTTACTGTTCTTATTTTGGGTATGAGATATAAATACTTTAAATAGAATAGTGTGGATTCATTACTTAATTTACTGAACACGTTTAATAAAATAATATTATGCTCACTGGAGGCTCGTATAGTATAATTTTATTCAACGAGTTCAATAAATTCTGTATTGAACCTAAACTCATTTAATATCCTCTATGTCCTAAAATTAGCAGATCTGTTTAAATGGCAAGAAAAAAATCACTAAGTTCTATGACCCCAGATCTATAAAACATTAATTTTTATCACCTTAAAATATTGTAAACTTGTAATCACATGCTAGTATCAATGTAAACTCATTTATTCCTCCAAAAGAAATTATCAGAATCATTTTTATCAACTGATCACCACATTTTTTGCTATCATACCTGCATTATTAATGAGAACATCAAGCCGTGCCTCCTTTTTAATAACATCATCGGCACACTGACGGACAGATTTTAATGAACATAGGTCTAGAATATACACAACAACATCTTTATTGCCTGTTGATTTTCGGATATCTTCTGCTGCTCTTTCGGCTTTAGTTATGTCACGACATGCAAGTAAAACTCGTGCACCTGAAAATACATTTTAACCAGAATTATTCTTTAGAAGAAATGTTAAGAATCATGCGAGTGTAAATGTTTGAGTGCTTGCACATTTAACAAGTGCATTTTAATAAAGATTGACTGCATTTCTGCTGAAATTCTAATTCATTTATAATACATGCATCCTCTGATTACCACAGTTGATTTACATGTAACATAACATGTTTGTTTGTTTGTTTCATTTTACGCCTTTTCCCAACAGTATTTCAGTCATATAGGCCAGTAGTTATCTAACCATTGTTCCTGGAGAGTAACATAACATGTAATCAACCATGAGATTGCATCAATATACAGCAACAGGTACGTAAAATATCAACCAATGCAATTGTGTTTAGCTAAATTTGTATTCTTCCACAGCAAAGGTAAACAACTATCAGAAACAAAATAGCAGCGGCCACGGTATAAACCTGTTTCATGTGTCTTCCCACTATAAAGGCAAAACTATCCCCAAACTAAATTATTCCACAACCAGAGATCACACTAGTAATATTTTTACTAGAATTAACGTTTCACCAAGTTGTATAGAATGAGCGTTTTGATGGGTTTTAATCGCCTTAAGAAATTGTGAGGCAACAAATGAAAAGCTGTCTTTGACACACCTCTTAATGACTGGTTATCAGCAAAGAATCCCACGGCTGACAAATGTTAATGGTTCGGCTGTGGATATCCGACGATGTAATACATGCTATTATTTTCCATTCTGATATTGTTCAGCTAGAGTGATATTATATTCGATAATTTACTATGTCTGTAATTCACTGTTATATTCCAGTAATCTACATGTACAATATAACTATCATTATAACACATGTAGGTGCAAATAAAAAAGAGCAGTCAAGCATATCTGGATTGATTACTGAATTAATAATCTACTAAATCTACAAGAAAAGAATTATCATACTGTGGCTTAGAGATCTGTATGTACATTACATCATGTAATGTTTTAGCTACTGAATCTTTGTTTCTGTTAAATAATACAGCTGTAAAATGACCTAAATGTCTTATTTTATTTTCTGTATCACTAAGAGTGAGTAAATATGTACCTCTGCTAGCTAGATCTTTAGCAGTTTCCTTGCCTATACCTGTATTAGCACCTGTTATAAGCACTGTTTTACCATTCATGAGTGCTTTACTCCTGCATACACCACCAGCCATGTATCTTTTCAAAGCAATTAATCCACATGCTGAAATAAGTCATAATGAAAAATATATATAAATATAATGTTAGTAATCTACATGAATAGAAAGTACAGTCATAAAATTAGCTTTTAGTGATTTCAACTTTATCTTTTTTTAAAAATTTAAGACATGTCAGTACTGCCCAAACAAAAAAAAGATAGGGATGAATCAGTATAATAAATGATAAACAAATTTACCATTTATTCCCAATTTATTATAGATGGAAATGACATGCAAATGAGCCAATGCATTATGAATAAATTGTTAATAAATCAGTGAAATGAATTGGTAATGAATTGGGTCCATTTACCAACTTATTATAAATTGTTAATAAATCAGGTTAACAAATGGGTAATGAATTTGGTCCTTTTCTTGACTTAGTCAATGAATTATCAACAAATCAGGTCAATCAATTGGCAATAAATTAGGTTCGCTGACCAACTGATTCATTCATGAATTGCAAATAAATTGTTAATGAATCACTAATAAATTGTATTTTTTCTTCTTCCATAAACCGAAATTCAATGTATTAATGAATCATTAACAAATCAGGCTTGCCTGCTTATATTCATCTAATGGATTTTGAATAAATGCAGGTTCCAATGATGGTGTCAATTCCGGAGAAAAATATGAAAATAATAATAATAATAACATATCTTGATAAATTTTATTTATTTTTCTTTTATTTTTTACAAACAAAAGCTGACTAGATTAATCAAGAACATACAACAAGATTAAAATTTGTGAACAAATCTATGCCACCACATCATAACATTGAAAACTGCATAGATCATTTCATAAATATCCCTGCAAATAAAACAGGTAATGTCAGGTAAACAAGTAAAGGGTAATAATTCTGGAAATATTCGTGCTTGCTGTTAGGAATATATTTCTAGTTTTAGAAACTAGGGCTTTATGTCAGTCTGAAAACATCTTTGCCTTCCTTTTCAGTAGTGTCTGTCTGGAGCTACACCTTTTTTTATTCCTATAATCATTAAATGTTGAATTTCTATACTGAGGCAATGAATGGCATACTCTGAAATAGAAAAGAAAATTCTCATAAAAAGTATCATATTTATAAATAAAATATCAAAATTTAAACTTAGACTTCTGACATATCACTCTGAAAAAAGTATAATATATTTTTGTTCTATTTGCAATACAATCTGAATTTGAATTTCAACTCGAGCCAAATACACTAAAGGACTCAACCACTTTGGACTGTACATGTTCTATTGAATAAAAACCAGCAGTATATTTCACAAAGTCTGATGATAGATAAATATTTGTTGATAAAACAAACGGGTGAATGTTCGATTTCATTTTCAACAGAGGAATGAACAAATATTTTGTAGCAAGTCCAGATTTTTACCATTTGCTTCAATTAAATTTAAAACGAAATTGAAAGGCTATGACATTGAATTACTATATGTACATGAACAAAATTCAGATTGAGAAGTATTATTTTTTATCATTTACTTAATATTTAAAAAGCACATTGTCTGTCATTTTTAAAATTATTAATATATATGTAGCCCTATACTTACGCTTCAAAGACTCATATAAGTAATTTCCTTGGAATGCCCTCGTTCTATAACTAAAAGCAAACTCTTCACGATCAAAGAAGCCGTCCATCTGCATTTTATTATCTCCCGTTCATCTGCTTTTTACCATCTCATCAGAGTTGCTGATTTTTACGTTCTGTCCTTTCTTTGCTGCTCTTTTCAGTTTTCTGCGAGATAACTAAATAAAAGAAAAATAGTCTTCTGAAGTCACTTAAAATAAAAAAGAACATCATTTTTCAACGCATTCAAATGTGCAGATGAGCTCAGTGTGAAACAATGCAGATTTATGTTTTTAAAATAGGCTGTACATAGATATCCTCATAAACAATGCATGTACATGCGTGCATATTTTAAAACTTGTATCTTGTATCATAAATATTTTTCTATCCAAATCAAATGAATAAAAAAATGTTTAATTTAGGGTGATGCCATTAGGGTGGGACGAATCGTCACTTAAATGGGGCGAGTTGTTATGGGCCGAATCGATCGTTATCCTAATCTGCACATTACTCCAGTAAATTTTATTTTTTGTCAACTTACATATGATATAGATCTAGAAGGTTTTTAAAAACGCTATGTAGAACGAAAAGAAAATTTTGAACTTACCGTCTATCAGTAGTCTAGATGCCTTGATATTGTTTTTATCCATATTTTTGTGTAACACCACAAGTTTTCATCTTCCAAAATAACCGCCTTTTTCCTATGCATAGAATTAATGCAAACGAAATGTTATTCCTAGCTACTATAGTATTGTATAAAGTTCCTAATTTTGCAGCTGCAATGACAAAATCTGTTGTAAGTTAGTTTGTTTCTGACATTAGTTATATCCAAAAGAAAGAAAACTGTTTGTATGGTAAGATATCTTTTTTCTGAAATGGCAAAAAAATTTCGTTTCCTATTAATCTTGTTCTGTTGTCGGCTGATAGGGGGCGCTCGGTATGCTGCAGTTCCCTACAAGATCTTATCGTTTAATCGCGCGGCTGGGAGCCATGCTGTCCAAAACAATAAACTAACAACAGATGTTAAGTCCGAGAGAATTAAGTCGCTTTTTTACGACATTTTACCTTTTTACGCATATACGTTAATCTATTCGACAGTATTTTTACTGATAATGATAGATCTAATCATAAAAAGCCGTGGGTATGGATCAGATTGCGTATTAACAATAAGAAAGACAAAAACTGATCTTGATCACTCAAAAATAAAATCTACATTCAAATTAGTTAGACATATTTAACAGTAAACGAGATTGTATAATTGACTTTTTTTTTATGTTTTGCGCTGAGCATGGAATTAATAATATGGTGATGCTTAAACTAAGAGACTTGAAAAACCCATATATATTTTCCAGTGACTGATTAAAAACAAGTACGGTAATGAGTAAAGGGAAATTAAAAAAAAAATATTTGTATAGTTGAGAGGGGTTTAGTTGTTATGAACAGTAAAACAAAAGGACCTACATCAATGAAAATTTCTGTTATAATTAAGCAAATTATGAACATCTGAAGTACAATGAATATGTTATGAATAAATCCTGGAAAATCTCTGATTTTAATGAATCATGAACAACTTGTGATCGAATATCTCAGAACTTTAAAGTGTAATGAATTTGTAATAAATGGTATTAAATGCAGTCGGGAAAAGTTCTATTTCCAATAAATCATGAATAAATTGTATACATTCCAGTTCAAGTGTAATGAATTTGCAATAAATTGTATTGAATATATCTCATGTTTTTAATCAATGGTTAATAAATCTGTCTTTTGTAATGAATCTATAATAAATGGGGTCTTTTCTTTCCAGTAAAAGCACAATTTATTTATGATTCATTTAATGAATCATGAACAAATTGTATTAACAAATCAGGAAAACATGATTTATTCCAGTTTTATTCACAATTTTGATATAATTTGTTGATGTATTTTTTTGTTTGGGTGGTGCCCAATGCCCATCTTCCTATTGTTAGTGCTTGTGTCAAACTAGTTTATGCTTCAAGTAGTTCAAGAAATATAGACTTATAAGAAGTACAAAATTGCTGTCTAAAACCGGAATTTGTATTCTGCACTTTATCATAATTTATATAATATACAATTTATATCTGAATACTGCCAACCTCTCTTACAGGCAAGAATTGTGCATGTTGGTAAATGTTAATAAGTGGTGTGACAGAAACTTAAAACCTGAAAATGAACATAATCAGGATAGTGTGAAACTTTGTAGGAAGTTATGTGCCTAAATGGACACCATACTTAACATTTCAAAATTTACCATGGTATCATTGTGCTGTACCATGGAGTTCAGGTCCAAAACATGGCTGATTGGCATAGATATTTCTTATTCAAATCTTTGACTTATTACTCTGCTATTACTCATCAGACACATGCACCATCATTTGATATGTTAATCATTATCAAACGTATCTGTTTTGTCAATGATAAAGGGTGAAAATAATTTATTAGAAAAATTAAGTCAACAATTGTAAGATTTTAACAATCCTTTAGTTTATTCTTAATGACCGTATCATGATAGTTATGTAAACTGGTGAGAAAGACATTTAAAGTTAAATTGTATAACTTTATTATCCGGTTTCTGCTCCTGTCCGAAATCTATACCAGTCAAGAAAAAATGCAAAATTTTAAACCTGTAGTAACTGTACATGCTATAGCAATCTTGTGGTCTTGAACAAATTCTTTTGCAGATGTCGAAACATCAGACAAATTTTTGAACGGCATTGTGTTAAATCTTTTTAAACTTTATTTAAATCAGTGTCATTTCATTTCACTTTTGGAACCTTGATAATAGCCGTATTGACACACCGGTATGCCTAGCTAAATTCTGGTTTTAATACCGTATTCGTACGTCATATGGCATGCCCAATGTTTTGTAAACATTCCACAATATTATTGCATAAAAACGAAAACGTTAGAGTTTAAAAACGAGAAGGAGGAGAAGCAGTTTAACCCTGATATATGTGAAGTATATTCAGAATAACAAGAAAAAGAAACCTTGTAAATGTTCCTTAAACCCTCCATAATGTAACTTACATGCATGTAATGTCTTCAACCCAAGAAGCTAAATACTTAGGGGTCAAGACTTTTCATGGACCAAACATGTAAACAACATGATATCAAAAGCAAATAACTCCCTTAGATTCATTAGAAGAAATGTTTAAACCCAAATAAAAAGAAACTGCATGAATATTAGACACATATACACTGTATATGCCAGACCTCAGGTTAAAAACATGTACTGTTCCTTATAGTTTGGCATCCCCATTCTTGGCAGAAATACTTAATTTATAAGACAGAGAAAGTCCAAAGATCAGCTGCTAGATACAATTTTAATGATTATGACTATACAAGTAGTGTCTCCAAAATGATATTTATGACCTTAATTGACAAACCCTTGACCAGCGTCGAAACATCATGCATTGATGTAACCTATTTGTAAAAATCGACATTGTCTTTGTTGACCAACAACATCTTACTCAAACAAGAAATCTGAACTACTAAACACCTTACCCGAGGAAACAAATAAATACAATCGCAATTCTTTCTATCCTAGGAGCATACGTCTTTAGAATGTGGAACTAAAACAATAAATACAGCGGATATGTTGGGACAATCTCGGGAAGTTTTATATGGTGAAAGGACATATTCTCAAAACCAATTCGATGCACAACAATCGTTGCAAAACATAAACACACCCTGGTCAGGCCAAAAAGGGGGACAAATATTTACACCCCAAGCAAAGCAATTACAACATAACGGTCAATTAAATCAAAATATGCAAGCGTACAGTGTTACAGGTGCGGAGAATAATGTCCCACCTTGGGCAATAAATTTGTGCCAACAAGTAAATAATATTCAACTAAGGCTTGACAATCATACAAGAGCTTGGCAAGTTGTAGAAAATACAATGTCAGCTCAGAATGAAAAGCTAATGAGGATGGAAAGTCTGCTATCAGAGGTAACAAATATAAAAAAAGACATAGTTAAAACAAATACAAAAGTGTATGACATTGAAAACAACATGAAATTTTTACAAACAAAAATTACAGATTATGATGAAACTGTACAGCTTTACAGTGACTTGTGTGATGATATAACGATGAACAATAGGGATACTGACGCAAAAGTGAGACAACTCGAAACTGAAATAGACAAACTAAAACAAAATCAAGAAAACATACAAATGCAAATTAAACACACAGATGATAGTATCGTCGATGTGAAATGGCGAAGTATGCGTGAAAATTTACTTTTCTATGGTCACCCTGAATCTCCATACTCCCAAAATGAGAAAGAGCGTGAAAATTGTGAAATGATAATCCAAAACTTCATAAAAAATGAAATGGGTATAAATAAAGAAATGCAAATAGATAGAGCCCACCGTTTGGGTAGGTTCAATAAAAGAAATGTACGACCCAGGCCTATCGTCGTAAAGTTTACATTTTACAAAGATAGGGAACTTGTCAGAGTTGCTGCACCAAGCACATTAACCGGCACCAAATACGGAATATCCGAACAATTTCCTGTCGAAATAGAAAGTAAACGAAAAGTTCTATATGAAGTTGCCAAAAAAGCTCGTCAAAATAAACAAAATAAAGTTAGACTAGTTCGGGATAAACTTTACATCAACGACGCATTGTATAACACAGATAACATGCAACAGGAGCCGAAAAAGTACCAGAATGACAATGGCGCAAGGCCTAAAACATACAGAAACTCAAATTTCAGAAATACACTTAACACAGACACAGTACAAAACAGATCACAAAAGAAAAGCAACGATGTAAATCCACACATTACAGACCATAACAAACCATTTGTCATCCCGCTGAAAAACAAATTTGAAGAGCTATCGTTTGCAACACCATTGAGAGAGATGTCTTCTCGTACTTCGTATGCAGGGAAAAAGAAGGCAACTTCTCAACTTGAACAAGACTCGAACTTTAAAAAACAAAATACTTTTAACAGTGAATATGAATATGAGTCGCTGTCTGACTCTCAGCTTACACAGGAGCCAAGTGTTTCGCAACATTCACCGTCAATATTAAACAATGACATGACAAATACGTTACTAACAAATCCAACAAGTATGACGCTACAGCAATATCCAAAAGTCACACTGCCTACGCCCCCGCATACCAATGCTGGATACAGTAATACGGATCAAGAACCCCGTTTTTCACGTGAAAACACGGGTGATTATTGCCAGACCAACCATGACACAGATTAGCGTGAACCGGAAAACGGCTACTTAATTACGGACAGTATTGAATGCACAAATTGTAACGGTGTTGATACACAAAAATCTTTAAAACTGTTATCTTTGAATGTTTGTGGATTAGTCACAAAACTTAAATGCCCTGAATTTCTCACTTTTATCAATAACTATGATATTATAGGTCTACAGGAAACTAAAACAGATGATACTGATGTAATTACTGTTCCTGGATTTTTAGTTCATATGTTTAATAGAAAAAAGCTTTCAAATTATCGATCAGGTGGAATGGCATTATTAATTAAAACACATTTAGCACCATATGTTAATGTTGAGAGTAATAACGAATGTAATCTGATTAAATTTTTCACAATTTCAAATGAAATATACGGTTCAAATTGTAGTTCTCATGTAGAAGATCTTAAATGCGGAATTGTATATATACCGCCAGTTAGTTCGAAATATTCTCACAGTGAACCTTTTTTTGATATACAAAATGAAATCTTTAGATATTTTATAAACAGTAAACATTTTTTGTTGTTTGGTGATTATAATGCACGATGCGGTAGTTTAAAAGATTTTACGCCTGTTGACTTATTTATTTCTAACATGTACGATTTACAATATGTTGAAAGCGAAGAAAATGAAATAATGAAAAATTTTGAGCTATTTGATGTACCTGTAAATAGAATATGTATAGATAATACTGTAAATCATTATGGCAATCAGTTGATTGAACTATGTAAAAATAACAATATGTTTATATGGAATGGTAGAGTTGGGGATGATTGTTATAATCCAAAATTAACATGTAAGAATTCGAGTACTGTTGATTATTTTATATCATCATCATTTGTTTTTGAGAATGTTTTAAATTTTAAAGTACATGATTTCTGTAGCTTATACTCTGATGTTCATTCCGGTTTAGAAGCAGTGATAAGCATCAGGCCTAAAAACAATTTTTGTATTCCTGATGAAATAATGTTTGAACCATTAACTCTTAAAACTAAATTATGGGATAACAAGAATGCCCATACATTCTCCGAAAATCTTGACCTATCTAAAATCTCTGAAATTGAATTAATGCTTGATAAAGTATTAGAAAAAAGCATAGTTGTACAGAACGACTTAGATGAAATAGTTTCTGACATTTCCACTCTGTTTACTAATTGTTCTAAACAGTCATTTGGAGAGATAACTCAGAAAAATCAAAACAAAAATGTTAATATAAAAAATTATTTCCCATGGTTTGACAATTCATGTAAAAATATGCGTGATAAATATCACAAAACTAGAAAAGCTTACAACAAATATAAACCCCCTATTTCAAAGAATTATTAAGGTCAATTAGTAAACAATATAAAAACACTTTACGCAAAGCGAATAATGATTTTAATGAGAGAAAAATTGAAAAATTACGTATGTTAAAACACGCTGATCCAAAACAATACTGGCAAAATATTAATGGAAAAAACACTAAACAAGAAAACATGGCTTCATTAGATAGTTTTTACGAGTATTTTAAAACATTGAATGAAGATGTAAACTCAAATGAAGAGTATCAATATAACGGTATAAGAAACTCTTTTACTGAAAATGAGGACATAAATGGCCCAATTACAGAAAAGGAAATATTAGATAATGTTAAAAATCTAAAAACAAATAAATCACCAGGTGTAGATGAAATTGTTAATGAACAAATAAAAAATTCAATTAACTTAATGTTAAGTATATATATAAGAAATTATTCAATATCGTTTTTTGACAAAGGAGTAATTCCAGAAAGCTGGACAATAGGAACTATAAAACCCATATACAAAAACAAAGGAAATCCAAAATTACCAGAAAATTATCGTCCCATATCTCTTTTGAGTTGTCTCGGAAAACTTTTTACAAGCATAATAAATAATAGGTTAAATAAATTTGCAAATGACTCAAATCTTATACATGAGACACAAGCTGGTTTTCGTAAGAAACATTCGACAGTTGATAATATATTCATTCTAAAGTCCTTAATCGATATTGTCCAGTCAAGCAGACGAAAACTTTTTTGTTGTTTTGTAGACTTTAAGCAAGCATTTGACTCTGTATGGAGAATAGGACTATGGCAAAAATTAAGACAAGAAAATATTAATGGAAAATGCTTTAACGTTATAAAAAGTTTGTATGAAAATATTAAGTCTCGAGTAAGCACAAATGAAGGAAGCACCCCCTTTTTCGATTGTTTAATTGGGGTACGACAAGGGGAAAATTTATCGCCATTTTTATTTTCTATATTTTTGAATGACTTGGAATACTTTTTACAAAGCAACGATATTAACGGAGTTTCAAGAGATACAATTATTGAAGGCGTACATGTCTATCTTAAACTTTTTATTTTGCTTTATGCCGACGATACAGTGATCTTCAGTGAAAATGAAATTGATCTTCAAAAGGCTTTAGATCAGTTTAAATTATATTGTGAAACGTGGAAATTAAATATTAATGTAAATAAAACCAAAGTTATGATATTTAGTAAAGGGCGTCCAAAAATAAATAATGTTTTTAAAATTGGGCAACATGTCTTGGAAATTGTAAATGAATATAA